TAATACAGTTGTGTGTGTATATGTATGTGTGTATATATATATATATATATATATATATATATATATATACACACACATTTTTAAAGCTGGATATATACTTAATTGTTTGTGGTGGTACAGCAGTGTTGCCGAGATGGATAGAGCTGGCCATACACTAGTGGATTTCCAAACAAACTTTCGTACAAAAGATCTTTCGTTTGACCTTAGTTGATTGGTAGGAGCAGGATGGATATTTTTCTCAAATTAATGAAATTCCAACAGTGGGTGACATTTTCATTCGGGAAACTCCCTTCATTTCAAAATCGAATGCTAAAATGAAATTTAATTTGATATTTGTCAAGTATTTGATGGCATTGTTGGGTAGTAAAGAAAGATCTTTCATTGGTTAAATAAGATCTTTTGTTCAGAAATCTACTAGTGTATGGCCAGCCTTAGTAATCAGTAACTGAGGGGCTGCAGTATTTCTGCTGTGCTCTTTACTAAAGGGTAGGGCAAGGGCTTAGATTGGCTGATCCTTTACCAGATTTCATGTAACTAACTGCATCATTGATTACATGACCAGCACAGGAGAGCACATCAAAGTATTTCCCTTTCCTCCCACATACTTCCTGCCTCCCACCCCCCTCTAACTAATCACTGGCAAAAAAACGCTACCTCAATGCCCCTTTTACTCACCTAAAATTTGCGGTCACTTGATGTTTGGTGCATAGGGTTGGGTTGGGGGTCTTTCTTCGGATGTCCAACCACTTTGTTGTTAGAGCCAAAGGGTATATATGCACTTTCTGCTTTTGATTGAGATCTGCAAAGTGCCCATAGGGAAGTGATGTTTTTGTTTATTTGGGCCCTGGGGTTTCGGCTGGTTTGATCAACAAATTGAAGAGAGGCTCTGGAGAAAAAATTACATGAAGAGAAGTTAATATAAATCAGCCGTGTACTGAATTGCAGAACTGTCACCTATTCAAGTGTGCCTGCTTGAAAATGTCCTATCACTTTCTGTCCTGATGACAAATGGCCACTGGAGCACATAGTGTGAATATCCCCAAGTTGACAGACATTGTGACCGTTCTCTACTCTATCCAGAACTAATGATAAAATGTTCTGGATATAGATACACTTTAGCTGTTGTATTTGCTTAGGTGCTTAACATTTCTTTGATTCATTTATTTCATGGGTGGACTGTTTACTTACAAATGCTTTCCTGCATGCACTCCTTTCTTTCTAATATGGCTGCTGTGATCTGCATTGTGTTGCCCTATGTATGACTGCACACGTATAATCAGATTAGGGGTATCCTAGCAGCCACATAGAGGCTTCATGTATATAATGTACAATATCAGCCATGGCAACCAGAAAAATGTAAAGAAAATATAAAGTCTTCTCATTGAAAGGATATTGCATATGTGCGAGTTTCATGTAACATATTAGTAAATATGTAAAGCTCAACGTGAAAGTTTTTGTTCTAATTTAGGAGAGCTTTTTTCCTCTTTGTGATGTTACATTGCAATGCATGCAAGAAAAAAATGTATCTGTTTGTTTAACTTGACCTTACATGAATGTAAGGTCAAGTCAGATTTGCAGGGACACAAATTAGCACAACAATTACATTTTTGGGCTTGCAATCACCGAAATTCCCAACAATATTTTCCTCATTTTCCTGTAGGGTGCGGTGTTAAAGCATGTTTAACAAGACAGCCCAGAAGTAGCTGCTTACTTTTGGGCTCTCTCTCTCTCTTTGCAATTTATAGTCCTTACAGACGTTATGTAAAAGAGAAAGGGAAGGGGGTGTGTTACTTCTCTGATTGGGTGATACCATTTTTGGCTTACTAAATAGATTATAGTGCAAACTTTTGAATTATGTTGGCCTCTTCTTCAGGAAATACCTGAAGGAAGAGGCCAGTGTACTTTAACAACTTGCACAAGTTTTTTTAATGGCTAACCGCACTGCTGCTGTTTATAGCATGCAAGCAGAAAACTTCAGAAACTTGTCTTCGGCAGACAGGGTCACTTTCTATAGGGAAGAAGGAGGGATTAAAAAACACTGTATAGTCCTTTTAAAGACCCATTCACATCTACAAGCTAAAGTGTATCAAATGTTAATTTTAGTATATAACTAGGGCATTGCTCTGTATGTACAATTGTTAAATGATCCCCTCTCATTACATCTTCTAGTTTTTATCTCTTTGACCCTGCCAGTTCTTTTTAATACATGTGACATGCTGCAAGACTGTTGCTGAAATGACAGCAGGGTTGTCCACCTTCTGCACTGCTTCTGAAGCAGCTGTGTAGAGATGATCTCCTACACGTGAGGAGAGTGCCTTCTCTCATGATGTATAGTCTCTGCCCTCCTGCTGCATGGGATGGAACCCTGTGGGAGGATGAGCGGTCCCATGATTGCAGGACCTGCTACAGAAAAAGTGTTGAGCCTCAGCATCGGTTGCTTTGTAGTGAAATGTGGTTAATGTCCTTAGCCTGGTCATCTATTTCAAACAACTCAGTGGATTGGTAATGCAATCTAGGAAATATTTTTGATCTGTTAAGCTGTTTAACGTGGATGGGGAATCAAATGGTTTTTATCTTGTTCTGCCCAGCTTTGTATGGATAGCCTTAGTCAGTCTGTCCATCCTAATTCTCCTAATTACATTTTAAAACAATTTATCAGTTTACACACTAAAGAAGGTTTTAAGAATGCAATTAGAAGGGGCTGCGGCCCCTTACCAGCCATTGCTTGTGCAATCTCCCTTTCTGTATATGATCTTTATTAGGACTTAGTGGGGTTGGAGTAGATAGTTTGTTTATCAAAGTTTGTGAACGATCAGGGGTGTATATAATATTACTGCAGAAAGACTTTGGGTAGAACTAATATTCCCAGACTTACAGAATCACAGGCTTTTGAGTAGGTTAATTGGCTATTTTATTCAGCTGATTACCCCAGTACACTCGATCAATGTCAGGGAAAATAACGAGATCCCCATGAAGGTGGTCTATATCCAATGTATGTATTCCATGTATGCCAAGTACACTATTTAGCTTGAATAGTGTGTATTTATATGGTGTACACCTGTATATAAAATATGTGCAGCTTTTATATTATGAAAAGCTGAAGTAGGTTTGAAAAGAGGTTTAGGGGAGTCCTCCCTATTTCTTTATCACTGTCAGACAGTTGGAGATGTACATGCTCTGTGGAATCATTGGGATTTTCTCTGGCCTTCTTTGTTTTTACGGTAGGTTGTAAAGTTAGCATTTATGATCTAATATACTTGTTTTATTATCAAGCTAGGAAAACATACAAAAGAAATAAACACTCAAGGTTATTGCTTCCATGACTCTGCTGAGAGTATGGAAAAGTTCAGATGCTAGAAGTATTTATAGGCTGCTTGGACCTATGTCAGGATCTATCTATCCATGTATTTGGCTGACTACTGTACACTCTTCCTAACAGCTATTTCATCTCTTATAGATGAACTATGGTAAAAAAAAAAAAAGCTATAAGAGCATCTGCTTACTTGTATTTTGTTTTTGATTCCACAATTTGTCAGAAAAGCCACTGATACACTATACTATATTTATGTCTGTAATAATGGGAAAGATTTGCTTGTAATGTGAAGGATTGTCCCTCTGTATTCAGAACAATGGCAGTCACACCAGCCTGTGTGATCTAAGGCATAGCTGGACCCACTCAAATTCATTGATGAAAATAGAAAGTTGTGCAATGGACAGCTGTTACTTGACACATTTTGAAGAACTCCCATCCCTCCTACCCACCTTGCTCCCACCCCATCACATTTTTGTTTTTAAACCTATACTAAGCCACTTTTTAACATGTCGGAATCTTCCGTCATGTGACCCACTGCAGTGCTCCTTTGGGGAATATAGACCAGCGATTTACTCTTGCAGTCAATGCCAGATACCACCCCTCATTGTGATGTCATCACACTATCGCTGGAGTCTTTAGAATCTGATGATGGACAATATAAGCATCTACAACTATTAGAAGAGGGGTTATTTGTAAGTGGTTTGCAGGGATTCCCTGGGCCTGTTGAGTAGGCGAGTTCCTGGAAGTGGTGCTAATTCAAGAAGCAGAACAGTTATCCTGCTGAAGTAACCAACTAAGTGAGGATCAGTATGGTTACTATTAGTAAAACTGCAAAATAAAAAAAAAGCTACACACTTTGGTAGGCATTTCTGCAGTTTAAAATATAGTTTGTAAAGACCAACAATCACCTTATGTAGGTGACTTAGCCAGGCCTAGAACATTCCACTTTTCAGCTTCACAGCTATAATTGTACAGTGTAACAAGGACACTCCACTGTAGTCCAGGTAAATCAAGTAGAATGCAGTTTATTAAAGGACAAGCACAAAATAGCCTGCAGCAGCAGCATAAGACCGTCCTTTATATGGCTCAGTAGCTTTCCTCATGAGCCCTCACTCTGCTCTTCCAGCAGTGTGTCCCAGCGGTCCTAGGGTCATCGACCTTTCTGACCTCTCCCAGCCTTCCCTGGCTGTTCCACGTGTCCCACACGCACCTGAGTCTGCTGTGGCTTTGTGCTTCCTGCACCCACACAACTCCAACACTCCTCTCTGAACTCTGGTCCAGACTCCTAATAAGGCTGCTCTCAGCCACCTGATCCAGCTATACTGGTCATTGGCAACACCTGGCCCCAGGACTGGAGATTTCATCCCACCCAGAGCTCTACAAAATCTCCAGAGCTCCAGATCCCAGCTACATTTAGAAAAACTTGGAAGAACCTGAAAAGCCAGGTTCTTCCTTATAACCTGAAAAGCCAGATTCTTCCTTATAACCTGCTTTACTTTCTGGGCCCTCTCAGCCCCTTTGGCTGAGAGTCCTGGGTGCCAAGGTCGCCATCCTCCACCGTGGCATTGGCTTACACTGCCACAACAGATATATGATTTTCACTGCATAAAACCATATTATTCACAGCATTTAAGTTCACTTTATTTGCTTATAAGCTAAATATCAGCATAGGCATTTGTGTAAGATAATTGAACCCACAATACTGCGTTTCTGCTCGGGATGCACCGATACCGTTTTTTCAGTATCAAGTATGAGTACCAATATTTTGCTTTCGGTACTCGCCGATACCGAGTACTGATACTGGTGCTTCCATTGGCATGGTGCTGGCTTCCCAGGCAATCAGGAAGCTGGGTGGCATGTAAGGACATGCTGCCTGGCTTCCTGAATGCCCACGAAGCCGGCTCCATGTTGTTTGGTCCACTTGATTGGGATTGGCCGGAAATCCGGCTTCTTAGCCATTTAACATCGTGCCGGCTTCCTGGCCAATAAGGAAACCGGGTGTCAAGTAATGACCCGCCTCCCGACTTACTGATTGGCTGGGAACCCGACTCAATGCTGATTGGCTGGAAATCCGGCTTCCCGGCCAATCAGCATGCAGCCGGCTTGCTGGCCAATCGAGTTCTTCTGACCGGAAGTTCCGGTGTCGGGGAAGGTATCAGAGCATTTGGGCGAGTACGAGTACACGCCCAAATACTCGGTATTGGTATCGGTGCATCCCTAGTTTCTGCCAAGTCTTTTTCTCTTGATCTCAAGTTTGGCAACAACAGCTTTCCATAACATGGCATAATATGTAGAGAGATCTATTTTATAGGTATAGAAAGAAAACTAAAGGCTCTATTTTGAGATGAAAAAAATACAGCTGGCTAGTCACTTTAGGCAGCAGACCTTATATTTGCTTCTTTTTTAAATTGGCCACGCATGGAGGATGACTTATCAGGTCATTAATCATTCAGAATGTTACACATCTGTATTCTAGAATATAACTGCAAAACAGATTTTTTTTTTCCACACAGATTTCGTGCTCTTTACAATGCTAGGAATGGCAATCATTTTGTTGTCCTATATTTTTTCTCTTTAGTTATTAAGTATCACTTTTTTTTTCTTATTCAAAATTGTGTTTCTTCAAATTAATTATGTTCTGTAAAACATGTAAATTCATCTTGTAATGAACAATGAAACTTGATTGCCATTATTTTATGGCATTGCAAAACACTGTTGGTTCATCACAGCTAATTTATATAATGATATAATTAAAGTTGGACAGAAACACTGTGTTCTTCATATAAATTTAGTTTAGTGCTGAACTGCTATTTTGGTGTAATGTTTCCTTTGCTAATCATGACCTGTTTAAAAATGCAGCGTTCAGATCTTAGTTTTGTGCGGTTTTAGCTTCTCTAAAGCTAGTAATATGTACATGCATTAATATATTTAATGGTATATTTTTTATAAATAGGTTATTTTCAAAACTAAATAAATATGTAATTATTACTTGTAGTTACAGGTGGCAAGTTTCAAGCAGATTAGATGCTTTTTTACAAAAACTGCCACTGTTGTAAAATACAGCTAACTGGTAGAGAGATTACACCTAAAGCTGAAAAGAACTGAATACTCACCTGCCTCTTTCCTTGCTGCAATGTGACTGTCTGAACTAGTCACTTATCCGCAGGATTCCAACAAGCTTTGCCAGGTAGTGCAGAGCTTTCTTATTAGCTCCGATTTGATTTCCATGAATACAAGCTATATAAAAAGATTTTAGACAAATAATGTCAGCACCACCCAATGCCAATCAGGAGCTACAAAAGCACAGAAAATAGTGTGATGTATAAAAAGGGACATAAAACACAAAAGTTACTACTCAAATATTTTGATCTAGTGTATTAATCCAAATGCCCTACAGAGGTCAAGAAGGATTTGTATTTCCCGCCTGTTTGGAAAATATGGGATAGTTGTCAAGGGGTTTTGTTTTGACTTCTGGATCAAAACCGTAGTCGTTTTAAGAGGTTGGAAATGGTACATAGCAGTCTTTTTTCAGGTTTATTAACTAGGTTATTAAAAATGATGGAAAACATCAGTATATAAACATGTAAGCGTAAAAAAAATGTGAAAATGAAATTAATCAAAATAAATTATGCTTTACTTTTCTAACCTTATTATAAGGGTGGGACATCTATGGCATGATGTTTGCTAAAGAGGCACGTGATTTGAGCACTGCTAGTGATGGTCAGGTTAGGAGACCAGTACTGAGCTTTAGGTTTGTTAAGCAATTTTCTGTATCTTTAGGAAAGCTTCAATGAATCTTACAATAGTTGTGTTGTAAGAGAAGTGAACGAGCTGTTCACTACACACTGGTGTCAGAACAAATTGCAGTGGTACCTATTATTACAGGGACAAGGCTGGTGTGATAGTCTCCAATCAGTTTTGTCTGTCTATGGAGAGCCATAGAGTAGACTGAGAACAACTTGTTCATCACAATGTGATATCCAGATAGTATTAAGAGGGAAGACAGAGATGCCTTACTTATTTGTCGAGTTTTTATGGCTGAAGCTCTAATCGTGTAATTGCTTGTTATTGTGTGGTCAAGCTAAGTAGAATCAATAGGGCTCTTTTACACATTACTGAAACTACTCCATGCTGAGCTAACATTTAATTTCTTTATTTATCAAATGCAGAGTTCCTTGTGGAGCTGTCTAAGTCCTGCAGTGGGTTCTCTGTATAGTGCTGCAGAGAGCTCTTGTGGATAGAAGATCACACTGTCATATTACCTGTATCGGGTCACCTGAAAGATTTCCTCCTCCCAGTGCACCTTTTCTTCTTATTCGTTAGAATGAATAGGACTTTACTTGCCAGTTTTTTCAGGTGGTTCTGATCAGACATAAGGCTGTTTACATCAGATTCCCCATAGACCAACATGGGTAACTTCAGTTTTTTTTCCTCCATTGCAAAATGCAGGAAAAAACTGGATGGACACAGATGTCACAATGGTGACTATCATTCCAAATAGCAGGGGATCCATTTAGAAAGGTGCTGATGGTGCGCTTATTAGAAAAGTAGCTCTGGCTTTGGTTAGGCCCGTTCACTGCTTTATAAATGGTCCCCTTAGTCATCTTTCTGCAGACTTACCTATGCAGGATTTACAGTTATCCCTTTATTTTGCTCTGCTTAATTTGTCTGAGGAAGATTCTTTCCCCCAAAAGTTGCACTGGCTTAAAGCCTATAATTTAAACTAAGCATTGGATGTGTAAATTATCTCTAAAAAGCTGAATGTTATTTGTGTGGAGGCCCTCTGCAAAGTAAAAAGATTCTCTTACAGCATGCATGCAGATTAAATAAAGTATGTACCATAATTGCCAGTTAGGCTGTTTACATGCTTTTGCTCAACACACAGTTTGTCACACAACTGTACTGAATATCTGGCCACTTAAAGTGAACTTTTCATGACTGACAAAGTGCCTAAGGGGTATAATAGTGTAAAGTGTAAACACCTTGTGGTCTCTTAACACTGCTTGACCTAATCTGCTAAATGGAGGAATTCCTGTTATTGATGGTACACAGCACTGTTTATTTAACTTTTTCCTATGGCATATTGCATGTACTTATATGAATTGTTGTGTCTTTCATTCAGTAAGGGAAGGCCCAGTATACAAAATAAAAAATGAAGATGGTGACAAATATGTTGATTCATTTGCTGATGTTCTGCTTAGGTACCTTCTCCATGGTCACGCCATTAAAATGAGTGAAAATAATGTGTGGGTAGGCAGTTATTCTATTTATTTACAGAGCACATACATATTAAACATTTGGTACTGCAGCAAGCTGAAATTAAATGAAACTTTTTTTTTTTTCTCTTGCAAAACTTTAACCAGCCAGGGAAATGTAGGTTACTTTGCACAGTGGAACACAAAAACACAAAAGGCTAATGAAAGGAATTGTATGCGGGTTGAGTTGTGATCTCCGAAATAGAAAAGAAAAAGATGTGCCAATAAACAGGCCTGTCATTCAAGCAGCCTGATATTTACTATTTTATCAACAGTGATGATGAACTACAGGCCTTTCTCATTTTCTATGCTCAATAGAAATTGCCTGCAGCATTTGTTACTGACTTTATTACAATTCTGTGCTTTTTCCAGCTGCATAAAAATAAAACTCCTATCTAAGAAAAACACCAAAAACCAAACAAAGGGAACGTGTATTGATAAAAAAAATGTTAGCTTGTGTTTGTTTCATGCACTGTGCAAACACGCATTAAAAGTCTTGGTTGATTGACATTGCTGTACTGAATATTATGCTTTATGCACTACAACTCTGGAAGAGACTGGTTGCTAGGGTGTCTAAACAACCTTCTCTAAAGATCCAGGTAGGGTAGTCTACACATTACAAATTCTGACTGTTTGGGAAAAAATGTTGCTGACTGCTGTAAATAGCCCTAAAATATCTTCTGAGCCTCTTTCAATTCTTTCATTTCAGGGTTGGCAGTTTCCCTTCAGCTGCTGCATGGAGACCTTGAGCAAATTAGAAGAGATTACTCCTCGGTGTTCACCCGTGGGGTCTCGATAACAAGAAAGCTCGGCTTTTCAGATGTCATAATGCCTGGTGAGTTGGAGGGAAAGAAACAGATAAGATAGAAGTTTCATTTGTTATGTAATGTTTTACAGCTAGGTGGTGCTCCCTCATACTAGCTTGTTTTTTAGCATTATTTAGGCTTCTTATTTGCCTTGACACAATACCCTTTCTTGTCAACTAGCATACTGCAGACATGTATTGTTGTGGAAAAATGTATAGGTTCTATAACTGTGTCTGCTGCTTATTTATTTCTGATGACTAAAACTGGCCATATACTCTTCTATCTTTTCGCTCAACCCGCAGGCCGAACAAAAAAAATAGAACAGGTTCTTCCATCAGTGCTTACGAGCGTTGATCAAGGAATCTCCCACCGTATTCATTGTATTCTGACAGCGGCTGACGGCCACTGTCAGAATTCCCAAACAAAGCCGCCAGCTGACTGGCTGCCGGCTCTGTTCGTTTGGAGATTTTCTGACTGGCTCCTTCAATAAGCTGATCGAGGGATGCCGGCTGGAAGGATGGTGACAACGACACCCACTGTGCAAATTGCACATTAAGAACCGGCTTAAATTCATATAGTGTTTGGCCACTTTTAGACTCAAAAATCGGTATTGGATCATATTGAGGACAGTTTGCTGATACTGCAAGGAGAAGCTTGAATTCTAGTTGCTATAAAGTTTAAATATTTGTTTGCTCATGGTCAGCTAAGCAGCCCAAATATAATTCAACTAATATTAGATGAGCAACCTTTATTTGCTACGTGTTTTTTGTCCGGGTCAGTGACTCAGGAGTGGCAAAGCCAGAAACTAGGTAAATGTCATTTTTTAATTAGGTCAGTATTGCAGCCCACACACATTATCTAATGAGAGATTTACTTAAAGGTAATACCACAAGTGACAACCAGTCATTTGCTACCCTTCTATAACTGTATTAACTGGATCTACCACCAAACATCCTGCTAATAAGCATTATTTCATCACTACTAGTGATAGTATTTCATAAACAAAGAAGTCTAGAGAATTTATATTGCCTTTTTAATGGCCTTTGTCAAACATTCCACTTGAGATGGGAAAGAGGGACACGTTTAATATTCAGTATGCAAGAAAAGGATACAAAGGAGAGCACACACTGAGTTACACGGACTATGTACAATAAAAAATATACTTTCATGCTTTTATTCAGACTAATTTTTCAAAATGAATGCAATCATCTAAAGGTTGATTTAAAAATAAAATGTACCGTTTAATTACTAATTTTTTTCAAAGTCTATACCACAGACCACAAACAGGGACAATGAAAGAGAGAAGTGAATTAGGTTCCAAAAGATAAATCACTCCTCCAAAAAAAATAGACAACAATGGGAACAATTTCTCCACCTGACACCAATGATGGCACGCTATTCCTCTACTGATAGCAACCGTAAGATACTATTCTTTCTATTAACTCCAAGGATGGAGCATTATTCTTCCTCCAACTGATTGCAGGTGCTAGGTCAATTTTTACAGACCCTAACCCCCCCTCCTGCATTTACTCCCACTGTCCACTGATACCAGGGCAATTTATACTTTTAATAGCTACATTCTGACCCCCTTAAGTCTGAAGCCTGAACCTGCTCTGTACACAATATTGTGCAGGTACCTCTTTCTGTAGTGATAGCAATTATATTTTACTTGGAATGTCAAGAATGAAAGTTGTGATTTTTATATCTTCCAGGGGAAATGAGGAATGACTTGTACATTACCATAGAGAAAGGGGAGTTTGAAAAAGGTGGCAAAAGTGTTGCTAGAAATGTACAAGTTACAATGGTGATTGTCAACAGCGAAGGACAAGTTTTAAAGGTAATTTTGTTCTTTATCACAGATTTTTACTCTTGGTGATTTGGAATGATTGCCTAATATTTATTCACTTTTTTTATGGTTTGCATGTTAAATACTTTTTTTCATCCAATAAGTCCAATATGTTGCTATCACTGTTACTACATATCATGCTTAAAGCTATTCTTTACCCCAACCTGTCTGTCTATCTCCCACTCTGGCTGCCTTTAGGCGATCCCTAAAGACTCTCTCAGGGTTATTCACAAAAGGGTTAGGAGTTTGGAGAAGGCAGGAGAAGTGAACAATCTAGGACAAAATAACTGATTTGGAAAAATTATCCAATTCAGCTCACTTTCCAGTTCAGTTATGTTGTCCTAGATTGTTCACTTCTCCTGCCTTCTCCAAACTCTTCACTCTTTTGTGAATAACCCTGTTTATCTCTTTGGGGAAGCCTGTCCCACCTCTAACTAACCACTGAGCCATCACGTTCTCAAAAAGTCCATCACCACACAGCTACCGCCTCATGTATCACTTGCCCCTCCCTTTTAGATTGTAAGCCCTCACTGGCAGGGCCCTCCTTACCATCTTGTATTGAATTGTATTGTATTTGTAATGTCTTCCTTATATTGTAAAGCGCTGCGCAAACTGGCGTTATATAAATCCTGTATAATAGAGTCATGCATTTATGTGATCTGATACATGCATAAAAGTTATGTAATTGCAGTAATTCAGTTTTTGCTTGGCAGGGTCTCTTAAATATGATCCTCAATGACTTGAAGCTGGTCAATCTGCTGCATATTTTCCCTAATTTACCACATCCATCCATCGCTGCTGACAGTTAATGCCTTCTGCTGTCCAGATACTAGCCCATATGGCAGCTTGCACCAGGAAGTAGCAACTTTTTAAAAAGGGCCTTACCATTAACTTTGATACTTGTTAATAGTTATTTAATACAATCAATTGTAGAACTTTAAATTGCGTTGCTGCTTTTCTTCTTTCGTAAATTAAAAAAAAATTACTAATAGGCATCACTGATGACTGGAATGCAATAAAGTAATTATATGTGACATTTTTCTTAATGTCATTGATGATCATTAGACTTATCTGGTTAGGTGTATGGCCACCCTTATCTTTCCTCCACACTTATCTATGTGTTTTTAGAAGTTTTAAAACAAACCTGCCACAGACATGAAGAATTCAAGCTCCGTGTGCGATGACAATAGCATATCCATTTACCAGCAGTGAAAGGTGCATGATAGCTTCAGAGGTGTAGACTGCCTAAACTGACTTACTGTAAACTAAAAGCTTGGCTTCAACCCCATCCTTTCCCTATGCCTCCATATTGTTCCCTCAAAGCTTGGGTCCAGATACATATTAAATATAACCAACTATTTATTCACTGGTAAGTCTTAAACTGTATTTGTAATCACCTGAGCGCTCACACCTCTATACCTCTCATGTGCTAGTGTCATTTTTACTTTCTATGGACCTATTGATTTAACAATTGCTTTATTGATACTTAAGATACTGTAACACAGTTTTTTTCCAGGACAAACAAGGCTTTTGTTTTGGTATGTTGCCTTGCACAAATATTTTTTTTTCAATACATATAAAATGTTTATAAAAACCCACATTTTTCTAATTTATTAGTGTTGTATTTAAAACATCTAGCATTTCTAGATATAAAGTGCACATTTTATTGTGACTGAACCATTTATTGTGACTATAGAACTACATTTGTGGTACAAAGTATGGCACGGTTCTTTTAAATTAAATAAAGGGGAATTTTTGAATGCAAGACTAAAGAAACAAATGAAATTTGTTAACAGGAGGAAGTTATTTAAGGCTGATATGAGTGTATTTCCACTTTTGCAGTCAGGCTCTATTGATTGAGAAGTGAGCAGAAACATGCACCGATCTGCTCACATTCAGATCGTCTCCCTGCAGTGAGCGGTGATTGTTAGTCACCGCTCCCTGCAGGGATTCCCCCCTCCCCTCTCTGATCCTCTAGTGCTGAGTGGTGGAACGAACAGAGCCAGCTGTCACTTACGCAGCTGGGTGGATCTCGACAGTATTGTCTGGATCCATCCCGGCTGCGGCGCTCTCAGTATACTGAGCTTTGGGTCACGGGAGGAGGTTAGTATATGTCCTCCCGTGACCCTAAAGAGAACTATGGGGAAAAACACTTACCACATAGTTCTCTTTTAAGTTTAAAATTTGAGGATCATGTTTCTCTAACTTTATTAACATACAATGCACAAGCCAGGGTTGTAATTCTTTAAACCTTTGTTAGGACAGGCAAACCCATCACAATCCCCCCTAACATTACAAAGAAGGAGAAGCAAGTAGAGTTTTAACACTTAAGAAGCCAAGAAAACCTAGCCCAAGTAAAAGCTATTTCAACTGCAAGAAGCATTCTTATGTTATTTTAACGTATGCTGCGTGAATGGGAACATGTAACAAATATAAAATAGGTGTTATTCCAATCTGGATGTGAAGGTGGAAATATACTAACGTTCAGATCAAAGGACACTCAGTTGAACTACACATAAATAACTGTTCGAAACACCAATACAAAGTGTTGTACAATGATGTTATAGCATACAGTATTTATAAATTCAAAATTGCAGACACTGTTTGCAAGCTTTGTTTAAACAGGAGCTCATTTCAGTGTTCCATAAACAGACCAAGACCTGGCTGTTCCTAGCATTTTGGCTGACATAGCTGCCTCAAAGGGTGACAAAGCCCTGGTTGTATGAGGTATGCCCAAGGTGCTTGGATGAAGATTTTTTTTTTGGTGTGCTATATATCTAAAGTCTGCAACTGGTTAAATACAGCTATTGCAAGTACCCAATTCTGTCATTGTATTAGCTTCCTGTAATTTCTTATGCATCCGGCGCAGGGGAAGCAATGTCAATTAAGCAATACTGCATTGCATCTTGCTGTCATTGTAGCACTGTGAGCTTGCAAACAAGATGAGAGACCAGAGTGATGACATAATCCATATGCTGCTGCTCCTACATTTTTTAGTTAGAAGACAGGGGTGGGTTGATTACCAAGCTGTATTGCTTAACTGCTGTGAGGTCACTGACCTTGCTATAATGTCTAGAAAGGGGGCCTAGATTCAAATTAATGGCTGAATAGAAGTACTGTAATTATGACCAATAATAAAGTTCACATATACTATATATATTTCTACAATCTATTTAAATGTTGCTGGGAGTTCAGCTTCAATTTTGTTGTGGCCTTTTGGATTTGGTGGATTTGATAATCCTTGTAGTAATTTAACACTCCTTCACCTCTCTCTCACCATAAAGGAATTCTTCATCTGCCTATTAAATAGTCAGTGGTACACTTATTGGGATAGCAATATGCAGATTGCTATTAATGAAAGATCTGTATGTATGTTATCTCCTGCTCTATAGGAGCTTCTATATAATGTTACTGTTGATGCATCCTTTTCATCACCAGCTTCATAAATTCTTGTAAAATGTAATAATTGAAATTTTTTAGAACTTACTAATGCGTTCTATATTGCAGGATTATATATCTTTTGGTTCAGGAGAACCCACAGCTCATGAGTATCATTCCTTTGTGTTATATCACAACAACTCTCCTAGGTGGTCAGAACTGTTGAAGCTTCCAATTCCTGTGGATAAATTCAGGGGAGCACATATCCGATTTGAATTCCGTCATTGTTCTAGTAAGTCTAATTTATCATCTATGACACCCTGAACACCCTGAGAGCCATTTACCTTATTCACTATCCCAATGTTCACAAAGGTTCCCTCCTTTTACTTTCATCAGGCGGCTTAAAATACTTTTGATGGAGTAGACTGGGGCTACCTCCTAGGCATGCTTACACATTGGCACAGTTTCTAGGATGATATGATCACCAACCCAATGACCCATATTAGAGTGAATAGCCTATTATCCACACCTCTTTCAATCTGTATAAAGGTACCCAACTGGGATGCCCTATGTTGCCTCAAACAACTTTGACATAAAGGTGCTTAGAGTAAATGGGCAGGAATATAAACTGGCAACGTATGCCAATGTTGTTCTCTTTGTTTTTTTTTATACAATAACCTAGAATCTCTCTTAGTCCTACTGTAAGAGCATGAGGCATTCGGTCAGATCTACAACTTTCAAGTTGGTTTAAACAAGTCAAACATTTTGAATTTTCCTGTCCTAAGAGCCGAAGATAAAAGCCTTAAAGCGTCTTTTTTTTTTTCTTGGCAAAGCTCTAAGTTTGAATGCCTGGACATCTACCTACTCCTAAATTATATTTAACATGAACTAATAATTTCTAATTTCCATATCTTCTGGGTAGGCAAAATTACACAATTAAAATGTAAATCCTTCCATAAGCACTATTCCAAACACTCCCCATAAACCTTTCTCCAGAATTCTGCAATATCCCAAAAATTTGTGCATTGAGTTATATGGAATCGAAATAAACCACAGATATCCCATCTCATTCTTATTCGGAGGGCCTTGCCCTCCCTGACTTTAAATTATGCTACCAAGCTACTTCTCTGAACGGGATTATAAACCGAATATTTAATAGAGATGCTAAATGATGGGTGACACATCACCACTGACTAAAGTTCCAATCTGGCATGCGGTCCACAAATGACATAACCTCTCTTATAACTCTCCCCTTTTCCTGCTAACACGAGCATAATTACTTTCACTGGGTCTTAATGATCCAAGCTTCAATATTAGGACTTCAGAGCAAACCTGACTCATATACCACATTAGTGATGGCCCCATTATGACCTCTCTCTCCAACTATTAGGAGAATTATGGCAAACCTGGTGGATACCTGGGGATACTGCCAACTCCATCACTTCATGAGTTTGTTGCCGAAACCAATCTGTTCTGTAAAGGACCTTAACTGATGCACAGTCCTAAAAATATAGATTTTTAAATCTAAAAATCTATTTTTAGATTTTTAGATTTTAGATTTTAGAGAGTCAAGATTTCTTGTTCAAAGGGGATTGTATTTTTTTGAATAAAGGACCTTAACTCCCTAGAAATTCTATTGTGAATTATACCTACTTACATGGTCTAATGATTATAGCAAATACTGCCCTGCTCGTACTCTCTGCACTTACCCTGGATACCTGTCCCACGTAGCGTCATTACACACTCTTAGAAGAGCATAAATCATATGGTTAATGGAAACCTCCTCAACCAACACATACAATTAAAGGAATCAAATTTTAAACTTTTAGCTAGATGGTACTATACACCTGTCGAGCTAGGCTCTATGTATTTCACACATTTCTCTCAGTGTTGCAGTGGCTCTGGGGATCTTCTTTCAGCTTTGGTGGCATTGTGAGCTAATACAACTTTTCTAGGCGAATATGGCAACAATTACATAGTTACATAGTATTTGAGGTTGAATAAAGACATTAGTCCATCAAGTCCAACCTATAATGTTATTGTTTTTTGCATAGCAGGAACCATGCCCCTTGACCCATGAACATAGTTATTTCAAAACCCAGTCATCTAGTCATTGCAATGTGGCCCTTGTCAGAGTCACTCAAATCTTTATACTTACCCATTTTTATGCTTCCAACACATCAACTTCAGGGACAAAATGTTCACTTGCTGCCTGGTATATTCCATTCACTGCCAGGTGCCATTGTAACAAGATAATCAATCTATTCACTTCACCTCTCAGTGGTCATAATGTTATGGCTGATCAGTGTATATGGATATCAATACCAGGCTGGCTATTGGCTATAGAATCCTCCCACTGTCTACTGTCCATTAGTTGAGGCTTTAATTCACTGAAATAAAATAGATCAATCATCCAATGTGTTGTTCATATTAAACATGTGCGTGCTTCGTGATGTGTAAGTGTAACACTCACAGGACTTTATTTATCAGAGGTCACAGTATCCCTCCTAACAATGCCTTCAGTGAGGCGCAGGCCCATAGATGACACAGTCATATAAGTCCTAATGCCTGTGCAATTCTTGACTGTGTTTTCAAATGTCTGACACAAATCAACCTGCAACTTTTCACCTTGCTTCAGTGTAAAAATATTGCAGTCTAATCACTGAGAGATAGGAAACTCCTGTCCGCAGCCTATTAATGACATAATCTTAGCCTAGGCAAAGTCAGTTGACTGACGGTGAAGGACAGCTTTTTAATGACGAAAGGTATAGCTTTTTTTAAAAATAATTATTCTATAACTGACTGTTGTGACCAGTCAGGATTTTATTCATATAAAAAGTCAAAAGAGGAGTAACACCAAATGTTTTTGGCTTTAATTCTCTTTTGGGTCACGAGTACATTTGCTAAAGTACTCCTGTGACCCAAATTCAGCATAGGACAGGTTACTGCCTGCTATGTGCTGACAGTGCAGAGCCGCACTGCAGGCAGGAAGGAACCTGATAATATTGCCTGATTGACAGCTGGCCCTGCCTCTCTAGAGCTGGAGCAAGCTGTACCCATCCCCTCCCCAGTGAGTGCTGGAGGAACAGAGAAGCAAGGGGAGGGAATCCCTGTGTGGAGCGTTGACGGACAGGCACTTCTCTCTTCAGGAAGGAGACTGAGCTGAAAGATCAGCAGTTACATGATCGCTCAGCTCTCAGTATAGAGCTGGTGTGTGACAGAGCCGGAGTGGGACACTGCAGCTAAGTATTGGGGAGAATATATTTTACTCCCCTAATATTTCTCCTTTAAATGCATGCACCAAGTTCACTTTAACTTTGCCCTTGCCAGCACCATACACTTACCTTCTTTGTGCTCCCTTGCTGCTCCATTCAGCTGGCAGGAGCAAAGGAAGTCCTTTGTAAGCTTCAAGTCCCTGGAGTCATCGTTTACACAAGACACTTGACTCTTTGATGTGACAGTGCTGAATGGGCCAGCATGTGACATGGAGTAAACCACATGAACTTATATATACTGGTAGGAAAGCAAAAGACAAATGTGTATGCTTCGTATGGGACTGACCAAAGGACAGGTTTGCTTTAAGTACTGAAATTTTAGAAGACTTGCTGCTTCAGTCAGTAAGTGTTCACAACGAGGTTTAAGCAGTTTTAATACACTAGAGGTTGACACAGCGCAAGTAACTAAATGCATCTAGTGATCCCAGTGTTTGTACCTTTTCTGTTATCTTTATTTTCTGTTCTATAGCAGGAATTACTATTTATTGAGCTTTAAACTTTTAGTTTACTCTCAGCAAATAACCGTTCACAAAAGGCATATTTGCTAAGGAAATGTGAGATTCGACACTGACTTCCAGAGTCATTCCTGAATCCCGATATTTACAGACCTGAGTTTGGGGTTTGCAAGATTTCATTTAATCCCACAGTTGCTGCTACTTTCACATGATCTTGGTATGAAGGGTACTGGAAACACCTGGCTTTAAATATAAGACTGCCATTGAGAAAGCTGTGATGTGTGCAGTTAACCAAGAATTGGCAGGAAGAAGGAAAGCATGCCTGCACTATCTGCATTTTCAGGCTCAGTATTATTGATAATTAAAAAGTAAAACAATTGCATTTAAGTATGGTCTTTTTGTGTGTGTTTTTTTTTTTTACAGCAAAAGAAAAGGGTGAGAAGAAATTATTTGGCTTTTCCTTCATACCACTTATGCAAGAAGATGGCCGAACATTTCCAGATGGCACCCATGAGCTCATTGTACACAAGGTAGTAGCTTGCATTCATGTTTTTAATGTGCATTACATAATTGGAATGTGCATAATTTAATGTCTGCTACATCTTTTTTTGTGGCAATAACATACAACACAAAACGCTTTGGTAATCTAAATATCTGCTAATCATCTGGCTTATCATGTCATTGGAAGTGGAATATGCAAATACAAATATGCAATTTATATTCCCAAATCCTTGACATTGAAGGCTAGTTGGATCGTAGGTAAGTTTTCCCTGTTTTCCCACACTTTTATCTTAATTGTACGGTATTCATTAATTTCTAGCTTAATTGTACAGTATCCCTCAGCCTTTGTTCAGCATGTCGTTAGGGATATAGTGGCCCTACTAAATGTGGGTCAGGTGAGCAATGGAAATCTACGGTCACATAGACACTGCTTACTTCTAGGGCAGGTAAGAAGCTGGAGGCATTCCTTATGATGCCCTAACTGTACTCCTAGTTTGCAATGGTGTTACAAGCTGTGTGGTGTTGGGCAGTAAGCATCTCCTTCATTGTTGGCCTGACCACCACTAATTCTTCATGAAGAATCCTTCCACCATTTTCTCTTGAACCCATGTGAATTGGGTTTCCAGCATTAAGGTTGTTTTCTTTAATTTTCATTGGGCTTACTGGTTTAAAATAATTTTAATGTTTTCTGCCTCATATCTTTATGGCGGGGATGTTAATGCATTATCTGCTATAATTAAGTTTTGTAAAAAAAAGTTTGGATTTTTGTTAATCCAACTGGTCTAAAAAAAATGGTGGATTATAAGGAACCTAAAGTCATTAGCATCCACACAGTTATATTTTTTTGTGTGCAACCTGCGGCTGAACAAAAGATATTTCTCCATCCACACTAAACAGCATAGATGGAGAAATCTCCCACTGTAGGGTTTATATTCTGAATACATTCAAACCACTAGATATTAATTTAAAACAACTATGCATTTTACCTAAAGAAGAACACAAGGCAGAATTTTTCTTGAACCTGAAAGTGGGGCTACCCCCGCACTGCAAGGGTAAACTGCTTGTTTCTGCCTAGGTGCTAAAAAATGTACTTGTACTCACCCAACAATGAGCTGGCATGCTCTTAGACTGATCCCTGGCGCCTCTCTCACCCTCCACTGCTGTGGTCTAAAGTCCCATAAATCATCACTTTCTATGCCGTGTATAGATATGAAGATGCCGAGGGACAGTCCATTGCTGCAGTGTAGAAGGAGACAGGCTTCTGTGAACGGAGAAGCAGGCAGCTGGCTCGTCGGTTCGGGTGACTATATAGCACCTACAAAGAAACAAGCACTTAACCCTTGCAGTGTGGGGGTATCCCACTTTTGCCCAGAGTTCTTCCGTAAAAAGTATAGTGGTTTTAAATGAAGATCTAGTGGTTTGAATGTTTTGGGGAAAGAAAATAACATACCCCCATAGACTGGTTTTACTTTCTCTTTGGATGTGTGGTAAAACATATACCATTTTTTTTAAATAGGGATTTTGCTGACATTGCATGCTATAATGTTAAATGGATTTTATATTTTTCTCATACATATTTTGCTGGATTCAGTGATTCGAAACGGATATAACTGGAAGCACTTGAACGTTACGTTCATTATGTTGAGAAGCATTTCAAAATGATTTTCTCTTTCCCTTCTTTGCTGTGACCTCATTAAGCCAATCCATTTGTTTATTTTTATAATCTGGATTGTCCTAATGTCCACAGACATGAGATCAGACCTTAACACAACCACGATCCACTATGGTATGCCCCAAAGCTGCCAGCCACCCTCTGCTTGGTGGATCAATTGAACAGGGAAATGACCAAACCTGCCTGATTTTGCTCCTGTACTGTTATTAACATACCAGTGTCAGAAGCCTCTCTTGTGCTACGTTCCACTCCTTCCTCCTCCCTTCTTCATTGAAGTTTACTTGTCAGCTCAGCAGAGTGAAACTGATAAGCTTGCACAATGCCCCACTAGCTTTTATTGGAATTTGCCCTGAGAGCAGTCAAAACATGTATACACATCCAACTGCAGTCTGATATCTGTCTCTAGCTTATAGCTAGCCAGAAACAGACTAGTGTGACACTCCTGCAAAAATCATGCTAGAGGTTCCATTAGGAGGCATTTACTAGCATTTCTGGTGTTGGAATCATTCTTTATAGCACACTGTGATTTTCCAAATTGCAGGAAGTCTCTGATCCTCCCCTCAAGGGGCTGTTAACTATGTGTTGGCTGCTTTAGTCTATTGTCCGAGGCGGTGCCCCAATGATAAAGGCCACAAGCAGATGTCTCCCTGTCTTGGGGACATCTGTCCATCTATGCCTAACTTAAAGGAGAATTATGAGGCGAGTGATTTTCACTCAGCCTCATAATCTGAGCCGACCTGTGACAATGCAACTGTCACAGGTCGGCTCAGTAGATCGGGAATGGAGCGAACATACCGTTGCCCGCTCACTTCTCGATCTATCCCTGCAGAGAGCCGTGACTGGCACTCACGGCTCCCTGCAGGGATTCCCCCCCCTCCCCTGCCCGATCCTTCAGCGCTGACTGGCGAAACGGATGGGGGAAGGGGCGGGCACAGCTGGCCCTGCATCTGGATAGGCAGAGCCAGCTGTCACTCACGCAGCTGGGTGGATCCAGACAGTATTGTCGGGATCCGTCCCGGCTGCGGCGTCTCAGAATACTGAGTTTGGGTCACGGGAGGACGCTAGTTTGTTTTCTCCCGTGACCCTTAGGAGAACTATGGGGAAAAGCCCTGACCCCATAGTTCTCCTTTTAAAGTTTGTTTACGCCACCATAACCATCCCATACGTGTGTATGAGCCTTGAGGAGCACCCATTAGGGGAGTAGTAAGCTGATGCCTGAGTTGATTTTGGTTTAGGTGTCAGAAGCATATAACATTTGGAAAGGAACCTGGTGTGAACAGGTCCTAAGAGTGGCATGCCATGGTTCTGTAGGTTTGGTGTTGTACAACAGTGTATTTACAGCAGAGTCTAAAACGCATGTTTTGTTATAGTTACCTAGAGCTCCATATATTATTCAAAATAATTGCAGATTGTCCTTACAATTGTCCTATGACCTTATACAGATTTTATCTTGTTATTTTGGAGTCTTCGCAGAGATATCTCCTTGCACTAAAGGGGCTTGGCAAATGAATAAATGCTGAGGGAAACATATGGCTTCTTTGTACTCTGATTGAAGAGTCGTGATTTAGCTGTTCCCTGCAGAACCTTTCTCCAGTCTCTTTGAAAAATGTCACCTGTCCATTTATAATCAGTTAGTGATATCAGGACAGGAGCAGATAGGGTTGTTGAAACCTGGAATTCAAGGGAAAGTTAACTGAAATCATTGCAATTATCAACCTTTTCGTTAAATATAGCCAGAAATTTACTTTAAGTTATTTAGCCTGCTAATAGGAAAGAGAGAGATGAATAAAACTGCATTATTGATGATGTTTCACCATATATTTATATGCAGGTCCTGTATTTTTCATTACGTAGGTTGGCTGTGTTTACGTCAATGATTGATTTTCTCTCTGTAGCCTCTTAAGCAGTTATGGTGTTGTATAACTTACAGATATGCGTGCCCCCTAGTGGCTACCAATCTGTTTAAGATTTTCCTTTTCCTGTTAAAATAATGAAACAGTAAGTATGTAGACAATATAATATTGTAACATTACTTTTCCTTTAAACATAACTGTATTGTACAATAAATGGGCAGACGTTTTTTTAGCAATTGTAAAGGCTAAAGTTGCATTGTATTTTTACAGTGCGAAGAGAACACAGTTTTCCAGGATTCATGCCGCTACCTCAAACTCCCATTTTTGAAAGGAAATCAACATGGAAATAATAATCAAGCTGTTAAAAGTACAAAAGAGTCTTTTTGGATAACTTCATTCCTTTGTTCAACCAAGCTGACACAAAATGGTGAGAAATTAAAATAATGTTACATCAAATATTAACTGTACTGCCTGTCATGCAAGTTTTGCCTTTCCGCAGCTTCGTAGGATCTTGTCAAGGCTTTGTTGCTTTGGCTGTCAATGTCAGTGCAAACTGTTTACATTTAAGACTTGAAGATATATTTCCCAGTTACCTTAGAAACAAACTAGAGTTTGTGCCAGTGGCAGGTACTGCACAGTGTTTAAAAATAGAAAAATGCTCTTTCACCTGAAAAAAAAATACTTAAAAATGCTGCACATAAATATGCTGCTCTAAAATAAATATTTCACTGCGGCTACAAAAGCTTTTTATTTTTCTTCTGGTGATCTTAACACTTTTTAAAGGCTGCCGAAATGGTAATTCTTTGTAAAGCCCCATCCCACTGAAGGTTATAATGGATTAGATTATTAACCATAAGAGTAAGCTTACTCACATATTTACCATACACATTTTATACTCTGCTCAGAGTTTAGTATAAACGTTATTTGTATGTGTCATACAGAAATGTTCGCATGTTTTGTATGTATTTATTTTTTACATACTTGCTCGCATGGCTGGTTGAATTTTCTTCAGTTTCATCCAGTCATTGTGCATGTGTTGTGTAGGTCTTCACTCTATTTTCTGAAGCTATGTTTTGTCAGTGGAAGCTCTTTTAACTTGAGAAAAGTTTGCAAAAATTATGTATTTTGGATCCATCATATTTCCTGCATTATTAATGGTTCCAACTGTAGAGTTGAGAGCCTAGTCCTAACATTAAGATGGTATTGCAGCTACCTTCTTCTGAAATGAATAGAAATGATTATTCTTTGTAGATGCACAATCTTTTTAGGAAGATATGAATACTTATATTATAACCACTTTGCATCCACTGACGTAATTGGCAGCACGGCACTGTAAAAAAGCCGCCGGGGCTCTGTTTACCTTTGTAAAGCTGGCTTTATAATAGCAGCGGTTCTGGCAGCTCAACTTCTTCTTTTTGGCCGGTAAAGTGCCCCCACCCGACACCCCCGACCCTGTGGGGCCGGCATGTCGGGTGACAGCAGAAAGTTGGGGAGGAGAGCGGTGAACATCCGTTCAACGATCTCCTCCCCGCTCTATGGAACCAGGAGCGATGCATATTGCATCACTTCCGGTCCGTGGGCTGTCATACTGTCTACTGAAGCCGAGCACTAAGCTATTGAAGTGTGATCTGCACTTCAGTAGCTTACTTAAAGTGAAAAGGTGACAAAAGGGGTCTTTTGGACCCCCAGTATCACCTGAAAGAGGACCTGTCACCACCAATATGCTATCATACGGGGGATAGTAAGCCCCCTATGTGATAGCAATTAAAGTAAAGTAAAAGGGAAAAAAAGTTTAAAAAAATAATATAGAATAAAGTAAATGTAAAAATAATAGAAATACAATTTTAAATTCCCCCACCTCCACAAACACACGCAAGCACGCAAACATGCATTGGGTGCACCTATGCACGAAAACGTTGATTGTGCTACACATGTTGGTTATCTAAACTGATGACCTGCAGGGGCTTTTAAAGCATCATCTATGGACTTTTTGGGGTACTGAATTTAGTTGCCGTACACAATTTTTAACCTGGGGATGTTGGATATTTATTTACTCGTCGTAACCTCATCTTTTATATTTTACCAAAAAAAATATATTTTATTATGTTTTGGGGCTCTAAAATTAACTTGTAAACATTTTTCATTAAATTCTTGGGTTTGATAAAGAGTTGCATCAATATTGTGCAACATAAAAATTTGTAACTGCCTCCATTTTATTTTACAGGGTGTTGGCTTTCAGAATATATATAGATTATATATATA